CCTCTCTAAAGCAAGAGCAGAAGCCAGGGAGAAAAGCACAAGTCAGGATCTCCACGAGGTCCCTATTCTGGCACAAGTGGTGCTGATACTTGGGGCACAATGCAAAGACACACATTAGTTCTAAAGGGAAGGATTTAATTTTTTGCATGACTTGTCTGGATACATGATTCATTCAATGGACCAACAATCAGGTCCACTGATAAAATATAAAATATCTTTTAATATAAACTCATTGCTTGCTCCAAAGTTAAATCTTTGCCTGAGCTCTGGTTTCCACAATGATTTTACAATGTGAGGTTTGAAGAGTCTGTATTTTCTAAAAGGACAGATTGTAGGTCACAGATTAAGAAATGGTTATAGACATCTGAGTCAAGATTCTTTCCACTTAATTTTTTTAAGACATACAGCTCTGTGCAAATTCACAAGCTTCTGACAGTCTCTCTGATCAAAATCTCTGTTACTCCTCTAGTACATTTTCCTCTGCCTATTCCCCACTCCTCCCTGTATCCTAAGGCCAAATTATGCAAATAAATGTCTTGGGTTTTATGACACAGACACTCTTGAGAAATATTAATCCAAAGTCACATTAAGTTTTTCTTGCTTCAATTTCCCTGACAAACTTGACAGACAGAGTAGTTTTTCAAAAACCTCACTAAGATTCAAGTTATCTTCCAAATAAGTGCTAATGCCTAATAAGGCAAAGCCAAAACAATTCTATGATTTTGTTCAGAGAATTGTGCAAGTCATGCCTTTTAATGATCATTAAGGTTTTTTTAATTATCTTTAATTCTGAAAGGGTCTGGTTGAGCATGTAGAGGCAATAAAACTTTTCACTTAAACTCCCTAATAGATGAAAATTGTAAATTACGATGTATAAAGTCAGGGGTGCCTGATTCACTAGACCTCAATGTTCAAAGGAAAAGGCATGTCCTAAGTCCAGACAGATTAAAAGCAAAGAAAATCCCAAACCAGCACCCTACTGTGAAACTACAGAAGACCAAAGGACTTGTCAGTATTTGCTGGGCTATATAGACCCACCTGACTTTGTTGTGCAAATCAGTGATATAAATTCACAACCATTATCTGACATACACATGAAAATATGTGTTTGCACACACACCTACATATACATGAATATGTTTACATATACAGCTACTTGGGGAAAAATCAGGCTAGCAGAGCTACAAGGGAATTGGGTAAGAAGTTAGAAAGAAACTAAATGTCATAGAACAATTATAACTTTGACTTCTTTAGAGATACAGTAGTGCTGAATCGAACATTTGTGTTACCTACTGTAGCCCTCATATTGCTATGGTTGCAAAATTGGTTTTCTTTTAAAGGTAGTTTGACTTGCTGAAAGGACTTTCCATCCCAGCCTTTACTCAGTGAGTAGCTCTATTGAAACCAGTTCTAATCTGTATTTGCACAACAGAGCAAGACCATGCTTCAGTACTGAAACTAAGACATACCTGCCCAGACAACCTGATCCTGTTTGCCTCTGCATGAAAACAGCTTAGTTAGGAACAATGAAGCCACTAACACAGCCGAGGCAAGAAGCTCTCACCTGAGAAGGATTAGCAGGAAATCACAGGAAAAAAGTTTTGAAAATCCATTCCTAATGCCCAAGGTATGAAACTATTGTATAATGTAATCAAGACTTTTAAGAGTAGCAACCAAAGACCCTTGATAGGCTCTGATTCAATTGCAATCAGCAATCCGTTATATAAGTCAGGGCAGAATGCCATAAAAGTTACCTTTGACCTTAAATGTGACCCTAGTGACCTATTATGGGCATTTGTTTTTCTCTCAATTTCTATTAGCAAGAGGAAGCACATTTCAGGTTACCTGTATTTCTCCTGAGCAATTTTTTTCAATTCCTACCTGTCTACCTCATCAAAACTGCCTCTGCCTTCCACTCACCAGAGCACACAAGATACTTTCCAGGACACAGAAGGACTGCCACACTACTGCTGTGAAAACAGTACTGATGTAAATTCAAATTGCATGTATCAATCCTGATGGTCATTATTATTTTAATATTTCATTCTGGAGTTAATATTCTGGATGATCACTGTCAGCTGGGGATGTATATTTAACCACACCAGCAGTGCTGTTAGGGCAAAGAGAAAAGATTTATCATTCTTTCAGGACGTAGGTCATGAGGTTTTGGGTTGGGGCATTTTGTTGGGGGGTTTTAATTTTTTGAGACAAACAAATTTGTCTCATCATATAAAAAAAATAAGTCAATAATAACAATCCTTTTTCCTCATTAGTTCTTCACTAACAACATCACTGTGATGTTTTCTCAGATACTTCACTTGCATTAGAGCAATTTTGTTGTTTTTCCAGTTCCAAAGCAGAACAATAATGACAGTAGCATCCAAAAGAGTTTCTTGTAATTGCCTAAATTGTACAGCACCTTACCAGGATGTTAGTAAAACAGCCAAAGAATTTCACATTATAAAACTGGGCATATCATCTGATATAGCAATTTTGAGCACATTTTCAGACTAGTCAGAGTTTATAAGCTTTCCCAACTCTAGTTTAGCCAAAAGTCTTTCATGGACCATCTGGTTCTAATGAAACAAAACTAGAATATTTGGTGTCTTTTTCACTATGTTACATTAAATTAAAGCTTAAAACATCAGTAAAGTAAAATCCATTCTTTTTATATTATGTTTTTGAAATTAAACATTAAGTATTTTGGCTAAGTAAACGTGTTTATTTTAGTAAAACTGTACAGCATATACTATATGATACAATCAGCAGAATCCTTAGTTCACTTACTCTTGCATATTCCTGGTCCCTCGCCCACTGAGGCAAAGGGAAGTATTTCCATTGACATCAGTGGGCTCTAAATGAGGTTCCTGCTGTGAGTGACACCACATCCTTACTCATCCTAAAACGTGAATGAGGTTTCAATACTTCTCCTGAGAGAAAAGGTTCAAATTATGCTTACAGTAGCTCTTCCTAAATTATGTAATAAAAGGACCCAACTGTGCATCCCTTACACTCTTGGTAACCCAGCTGAAATTCAGTGAAATCAAAAGATAAATGTCATAGGAGGTTTTATAGTGGAAAGGCATTGTGAACTATATAATCTCTACACATACTCTATCTGGCAATAAATTGGCACTTTGGGTGCAACTTTCACAGGTGCCTGAACGACTGTACCTTCCAGCAGCTGTTGAACAGCAATGGAGTTTTGAGAATCCCACCCCAAATGTGGCTTATCACTTCTGAGCTCAGCCACAACAGGTCACAATTGCCTGCACTTCACCATCAGTCTTAAAAATTTGTTCTGCAAGTGGAAACAGAGAACAGGATTTCAGGAGATGTGTAGGAGAAAATTCCATTTTTAACATCAAAAGTACCTCATTCTGTAGACTCAAAGAGGCCAAATCAAGCAACCAAGAAGGTCAACCAGCCACTGCCTGAAGAAGCTGCCACCTTCCACAACTCAGCTAAGGTCAACTGACAGCAAATATGATCTCTTACTTATGAAATCAGTTTGTTTTACTGCAGCAAGTGGCCATCATCTTTTTACTGTCTATTTTTTCTTGCAGTTCCTATCACTAGGAACCCTCACTCCAGAGATTTATCCCTCTTGTAGGAAACCTAATAGTAAATATCCCACACACAAATACCACAGAGGCTGACAAAGATGCAGATATCATTCAAGGGGCTATCACAGCCTGTTCTGTTCTATTCACTCCCTCAAATACAATTTTGCTGGTAAGGTAGCCTTCATTTTGTTTCTTCTTTCTGTTTTTTTTCTCCTTTCTCCTCGGTAGTTTCCAGGTTATAATTACAAAATAGCTAGAAGAGATAGTTCCAGCCCTGAATTCCTTACAAAGTCCCCTAAACAGGAGTTTTTCTGCAGGAAGAAAGGGCTGAGAGAGGACTGCATGAATTGGCCCATACGGAGTTACATGCTAACTGTTGTTATTGTTCTCAGAGAGTGCATTTAAGGTTTTGGGAACAAACAATAAAACGAACAGCTGAACAATTTTAATCATGGCCCAGTTCCTAGTTACAATTATTTTTAAGCTGTCTCACCATTAGCTAGACTCCGATTTTTTTTCCCCAATGAAAAAGTACATTATGTAAAACTTGAAGAAGTATTGACTTTAAATGACAGGGAAAGTAAAAAACAGATTAGAATAGATTCTGAAATGTAGCATGCTATGATTTGTGCTATTAGCCCTGCATTTTTGTATGAGTTACACATGATTTTTAAAATATTCCATTCTCTATATACCTCGTGTACTAGCCAGTTCTCTAGGAAAATATGCTTTCCTAGATAAGTTGAAAGAGTGGCCTCTGAACTATAAGACTAGACAGAGAATATCAGATTTTGACCACAGACATGTCTGAACAAAACTAGAATTCATGCTCATATGAAAGGCATATTTCATGCAATCTGTATTTCAAAATGCTACAGCAGGGACACATCAAATCAAAGAAAGATGACAGCTCACACAAGGAAATGGGAACAAGAGAATAGGATGGCACAAGGACGTGAAGACATTTGGAGAGACTACTGACCAAGAATATGCTTTTAAGATCCCCTTTTCATTCATTTAAGGCCTGATTCAATTACTTCCACTGGAGTCAACAGGAAGACTTGTGGTCTTCAGTGTCTGTTATTGTGGCTTATTACTTGTGTTACAGTAGCACACTGAATATTGAATTAAGTTCAAGCACTGTAATACCAGGTGCTACACAAACAGCCACAATGGCATAATCCCTTTTTACCAGTGCTTGCATCAAGCAAGACCTTGAGTCATGTAGGGGGAAAAAAATACAGCAAAAAAACCATGGGAAAGAATCCAAAGGGAGCCCAAGGGATTTAAAGTGGATTACAAAAAGAGTCAGCAGCAAAGCAAGACTGGTTGCCTGCCCTTTCTATTAACCCATTCTGCCTGTTGATGAATTTTGGGCCAAACCCACACCACACAATATGAATGATAATTGAGTGAATTTAGTAAAATGCTTACCTGCTAAATAAAGTGAACTGCCACTGTCTTTCTACTCATGGAGATTCCTTGAGTACTGCAGATGTACTGCTGTAAAAATACTCAGTGTGTAGAAGGCAGGAATCACAAGTGCTCCACTTGCAACTCTTGTTTTTAATAAGAATTCTGCAGAAAAATGTCATAAACAGAAACACAGAGTCACTCCAGAGGTTGCCCGTTTCCCCCAGCCCACAGTACAGCAGGACCAGTTATAGCCATGTCATTCCTAACAGCTGTTTGTCTCATCTGTTGATGGATGCTCCAAGCTAACAGCAAGCAATCTGTTCCAGCACTTCACCTCCCTTGCCATTAGAACTGCTTTCCTCACTTCTAATCAGAACCTTTCTTGTTACAGTTGATGTTATTAGTTCTTCTCCCAGTATGTCCTCTCTTAGGTCTTCTCTTCTTTAAGTTAATCAAGCCAAACACATTCAGATCTCTCCTTAAAATCACCTTGTCAAATGACATTCAGCTTAAGACCCACTGTTACCTTAGTGATTTTCTAGAATTTCTACTTGGGTTGTCCATTCTGCATTTACACAGTTGATTACACCTGGCTAAGTGTAATAACTTCTACTTGTCTGTCAAACAATCTCTGAACTTCATTTCTAAATGTATTTTAGAATTCTAATTATTTTCTTAAGTGCATATAGAATTAGTATCAACTGCAAACTTTATAAGCCTTTATTCAATATCATCATAAAGGACACTACTTAAAACCTTGAATACTGGGAGACCTCAACAGATACTCATTCAATATATTAAAAAACTAATAAAAAGTAGTATTTAGATGCACTTAGTAAGCCTCTTTTGCACCCACTCCACAGCAGGTTGAGAATATTTGCCTTTATTCTCATTGGAATGTTATATAAAACAATATCAAAGATCTTACTAAAATCTGTATAGACTTGCTAGTTCTGCTGTATCCAGGGTCTGCTGTTCTGTTGTGGATTGGGTTGACACAGAGAACTGATGCAATTTGTTACTGACTGTTCTTCATACATTGGGTGCTGTTGTCTGTGTATTCTATGTGTTTGAATTTAGGTTGTTTGTAATTTCTCCAGAATTTGGAGGGAAATTGTATTTATATTGATCTGTCTGTTCTTTCTAGCATTTCTTTCTCCTCCTTTCTAAAGCTAGTCACTACCTTTTTCCTTTTTCTCACCTGTCTTCAGTGAGTTATCAGTTATAATTATTCTGAACCTCACTTTCTTTAAAAATCTCTAAAGGTGTTACATAAATTTCAGATAATCTGAAACCATTAAGTTAGTTAAATACCATGCAGTTAAATCCTGCAACTTCGTGAAAATACACAGAGAAGCATGAAGGTTCATTTTGCAATTTCCTGAGTTTTTAAGTGTTTTATTTCGGAATTTTAATTGCCCCTTCAATAAAACCTTTCTCCCCTTTTTAAACAATTGGTGGAAATGGCTGGTTATTTTTAGCAGCATGTGTTATTTATTGCCTAGGAACAAAGCTGGATCCTTCACATACAGATTTAGTCTTATGGCTATGACGAATAAATGCCCTGTTTGGATCCTCTGATGACTAAAAAAATTATTTCACATCTTTCCTTCCCAAGAACTATTGCACTGTGCAGAAATATCAGTGAAATGTGGCATCTGAACTAGTTAAACCTATTCCACAGAGCAATTTATCCTAGCCACAAAAGAATGCCACAGAATCACAGAATCAATTCATTTGGAAAAAACCTTGGGGTTCATCACATCCAACCTACAACTTATTAACACCTTATCAACTAAACCATGGCACTAACTAACCGTGCCACATCCAGTCTTTTAGTGTCAATGCTTTTAGATGGCAAATAAAAATCTTCAAACACAGTTCAGAGGGGGTTTTTGTGCAGTGAGGCATCATTGACTTCAGCCAGAGCCAGGTCAGATTCAAAAATGGCAATGCCCTCCATCTACTGTCTTTCCTCTCAATCAAATACAAAGCCAAGGTTAATCTAAGTAATACTCTTAAGCAAATGAAAGGGTTGCTTGCATCCCTGCAAACAGTCTTGACACCAGCTTACTACTAAATTCCATGAATGTGCAATTATGAGAGTCCAGAAGTTCCTATCTACCTTGGCAACATAATACACACATTGAAAGTGGAAAAAGAATCAGCAGAAATAGTCATAATAATCACCAACCTCATCCCATAGTTAGGTTCCTTTCCATCTTACATTCAATGTGGAGAGAGTAATCAACAAGCCGTTTATTTCTTTGTAACTCTATATTTCCAAGAATTTTAAAAACAAAAAAGAGTTGATTGTGAAAACTTAAATCATTTTCATACTGCATAATTAGAATACTACATGAGAATATTTAGGTGTAATTGCCTCATTTATTTTATTCTTTTTCAACTGTTGATAAACATGAGTCTAATGATTCCAACTTCTAAGAATCTCCTGCCCACTAACCACAACTTTTCAATGCAACATCCAAACTACTTAATAGCATCCTGTAAGTACAGTTGTTTTCAAAATAAGAGATTATGGAATAAACTCTAGACAGAAGGACAAACTCATAAACAATTCAGATGATTTTTTTATACAAAGATTGGCTGGAATATCAAACAAACTGCCAAAAGTTATGCAGCCAGCAGTTAAAGTGACTTGTGTACATTAATTCAAGAAAAAGTTGGATTATGCTTTGGAAAAGAAGGAAATACTACAGTACAGCAGCCACTAGCCTTTTTTCCCTCTTTTTTTTTTTTTTTTTTGTACAGCTGGGATTATGGTTAGATTGTTAACAAATATACTACAATTAGCAAACTTTCTTCTTTCATTTTCTGTAATCTGCAAGAAAGTTTCCCATGGTTTTACAAGGCTGACCAGTTGGTTCCCTTTGCAAGACTGCATTTATATCTCTACTTGCTGAAGTAAACATGTCTCTTTTTTTTGGCTTAAGAATGCCTAGCAGCACTTTGAAAAGAAATTTGAGCCTGAAAAAACAGATGAGAAAGACCAGATAAAGTAGAACATCTTAATGAGTAGATAATTCAATAGATACCTGGAGAACAGAAAAATTGAAACAAAGAGGATCTTCATTTGTTACATGTTCTGTCATGTTCCACCCTTTTGTGGTCATCAGGACTTATCACACAGCAGGAAAAACAATTAGATACAGGATAAATAGTTCAGGGAAAAGAACAACAATATGAAAAGTCAAACGCAAATTCATTCTTCATCAAACTTTCATGTCATAATAAAACTGATAAAAATTGTTTTTGTTGGCGACATGATCACTAACTTTGCCAGAAAATTAAAACACTAAGATAATCACCAACCCAGGAAAGAAGAAAAAGAAAAAGCAGAAAAAAACCCAAGATTTCACAGAGCTTCAAATTTTCATTGGGAAAGAGAAGGCTCAAAGATTTCTGGGATCAGTATAGTCAGTCCTGTCTTTCACTCAAGCTGTCGTCCTGGTGCCACAAACAGAAGGAGTAAATACAGAAGTGGTCAGAGCCCTGAAGGTTGGGTAACTTGATTGCAGTGACCATGAGATGGTGGAATTCAGGATCCTGAGGAGAGAGAATCAGGCAAGAAGAACAATCACAACATTAGACTTCAGAAGGGCAGATTTGGCCTGATTAAGTAGTTTAGGAAGAATCCTGTGGGAGAGTCCTGGAGCAAAGAGGGGTCTGGGATAGAGGGTTAATTTTCAATGACCTCCTCTGTGGTCTTTGAAAAATGACCAAAACTATCTGTCCCCACATTCAGGAACTCAAGCAAAGGTGGATGAAAAGAGTGGTCCTGAAAAAACTCATTCACAAAGGGAAAGTATACAGGATGTAGAAAGAGAGGCAGGTGAATCTAGGAAGAATACAAAGGCAGTGTTTTACCACACTGAGATTGGATTAGGAAAGCCAAAGCCCACCAGCAGCTGAAGGATGGGAAAGGGAACAAGAAAAGCCTCTAGAAAGAGGCTTTTAGAAAGTATAGTGGCAGCAAATGGAAAACCAGGGGAAAAGTGGGCCAGCTGCTGAAAGATACAGGGTACATCAAAAAGGCCAAATTGCTCATCTTGATATGGGAAAGATCTTTTCCATTTTTCATTTTCATAAGAATAATCAGTCACTGGAACAACCTCCTAAAGGGTGAAGTGCAGTCCCCATCACTGGAACTTTTCAAGATACAAGAGAACAGGGTGCTAGTTAATCTCCTCCAGACTCCCTTTTCTGCAAAAGGTTGGACCATATATATGTTCTTACAAAGTCTCCTTCAACATGTGTTGTTCTGTGGTTCTCTGATTCTAGGATTTTATATTCAATGCCCTCTTTACCTCAGTCTTTAATAGGAAAAAATTTACCTTGATGAATCCCAGGCCCTGAACATCAGTGGGAAAGTCTAGACCAAGGATTACCCTACCACAAAGGGTAATTAACATCAGGAAGCAGTTAACCAAATTGGACACCTATGAGTCCATGGGACTTTTTAAGATGTACACATTTGTGTTGGCCAATGCCATTGTGAGACAATTCTATGAACACTTAGGGTGCTCAGCACAGGTTTCTATGTGGGAAAAATTCTGATTCCTGTATTCAAGAAGAGCAAGAATGAGATTTTTGAGAACTACAGACCAGTCAGCCTCACCTTGGTCCATGGGAAGGTGTTGGAGCCAATCTTGGAAGCCATTTCCAAACGTACTCAGGACAAAAATGTGACAGCCTCTTGTCAGAATGGATTTAGGAAATCACCTCTTCTATGATAAGATTAGTCTAGTGGATATAATTTATTTTGACTTTGGAAGGGCTTTTGACACTATCTTCAATACCATTCTTAGAGAAAATTAATATGAGTTAAATAAGTGGAGAGGAAGGTGGGCTGACAACCAGGTGAATGGCTCAAAGGGCTGAAGTCAGTGCTAGGAAGTCCAGATGAAAACAGAATTACACCCATCCTAATTAGTAAATAAGCCAGAATGAGAATAGAATGTCTGACAGGTAGCTGAAATGTGACATCATCAGATGACGTTCTACATGCTGGAGGGAAAATCTAACAGGTTTAAATTAAGACAGAGTAGATTTACTAGAAAGCTTTTGTTTTCTTGATTCAAACATTTATCATAATTTCAGACCAACAGCTAGAGTTCATATTTTGTAATCATAAATTATGG